TTTTGATAATTTCGTGAGAAGTTTCAAAATGAAGAAATCCATTATTTTGGCAGAAGATTATTCAGTGGTGACAGAAAATCTAAACCACATACGTCACCGATTTCGTTTGTTTATTTTTAGACCAGTAGTTCGTATAGTTATCTGTTTGTTAATTTTTTCTGAGCAGATTAATTATTTCATAGGTATTTTTACAAACAACGGCTGTTCTTCATATGAATGAAAACTTTATATGCAATCTCACAGCTTTACAATTACTTAAAATTATTTTGTTGAAGATGGTTCCCACGGACAATCAAAACAGTATTTTATATTCAACACTATGCATGGATTACAATCAATATACTCGCCCGTTCAATCTTAGTGTGAATGAAATGAGCAAAGGATAAAAGGTACTTTATGAAATGAACCCTCATTGGAAAAGCAATCAGTCGAATTAGTAATAAATAAGTAATAAAAAATGTCGATATGGTGAGCGTAGACACAGATTTTACAGACAACAGTCCAATCAAGGAGAAGCAAATGCAATTGTTCAGCGCGCTAAATCCTTAATAAGCGTGTCATTGTTACAGAGTTGTACGAGCGAAATTGACATTGTATTAGAGAAATTGACAGTGTCGTCTGTCTATAGAGGCTTTATTAGATGGGATAGGCAAATGATTGAAAACGTCTTTGCTGAGAGTTTTACAATTATTTCCCTAATTTATCCTTCAATAGCACATCGCTTTTTCAATAGACAAGCGGAATGGTTAGTTCTTTATCCATCTCATTTCCCGCTGATCCCTGAATAGACTTTTGCACTGTATGTTTGAAAGAAAAAAGTAATTTCATTGATGTTAGGTCTTTTATCTAATCACCTCTTGCTCTGCACGAGAGCCATAACAGGGAATCCTAATGTTTCCTCATTCTGTAACGCCATTATCTCATAAAAATCTGGCGATAAAAACACTATTAGGGCCTTCGCTGTAACTGCATATCTACATCGGGTGTTCTTCACTGCCAAATGACACCGCGACGCACTGAAACTCGTCAAGGAAACGGCTGGTTAAATAAAGATAAAGAGTAAATAAAAATTAATGATTACTGTAAAAATATAACCAGCACATAAGTAGATGTGCCCTGACGATTGGAAGGAAGGGTCGAGTAGAAAAGTTCGCATTGCTTGAAAATTAAGTGTCCTGGGAGACATATATCAAACGAGCACTGCACAAAAACAAACTTTCAGTCAAATTCACTCCGTTTCCTCTTATTTCTACGAATGGAAAATTATGAACTTCCCAACATTCTCCCCATTGTTTTTTTGCTGTTGCCCGGCTTGCGTTCACTGGTCGTCTGCTACTGGCCAAGCCGTGCAGACCGAGTGTCGTCTGATCATACAATACCAGGTCGAGGCTCCCCCTCAAAAAGTGAAGTGACACGTGACTTGTCATTTGGAACAATCCTCATTGAAAATAAAATGCAGGGAAGAGGAAGCACCAAAGCGGATGATGATATGATCGATGCGATATGATTGACTGGGCCAGTCTTAGGGGCATTAACTTTTACCCAGAAGCTTATATTATAGCAGTACGTCGATTACGGTATCTATGGTAGTTCTTTTTGAAGTTTCTCGGTTGTGGATGAGAACACCTGAGTAGCCTGCGCAGCGGTGTCTTTTTATCCGCGGGATCTCAAGTCGGGCGACATTAGTTAAGGTAGCAAGTGTGAAATTGTCGTCACTTGCGCTCAACTCTACGCACAGCCTCACCATTGAGCGACATTATCTCTCCTGTCAAGCAGGCTGGCCCGACACTTCAGGGCTGGCTGCTGAGGCCTACAGCATGGATCTAACAACTTCGTATCGATACCACTCTCATCACAACATGATGGACTTCTATCATTCATGTAAGAGTAAGTACCCTATCAGTCTCTTTATGCCATCATTGACTTAATCCGTTAGTTAGCACTCACCGGCGACAGCTCCGGCCTCACAAATTGGATTATCTCTGTCGGGTATGTGGTTTATCCTTTCACAATAATTCTCGACAACAATTCCTTGATCACTGAGGCCGGATTGGTAATTAGTAGCTAAACTAGTAGGTCCGTTGCTGTAGTCGTCGAAGTTGTTTCAGCTACTTAACTAGCCCGTGGTCAAAATAGTACAACAGATATGAAAACATAAGGTTTAAACAGAGAGAGAAAAATCTCCGTCTTCTCGGTTTCAGTGCTGTTGACTGACTATACGCTCAATGCCGGGGAATTTTTTTAAACAGCCATTGCTTGAGCAATTGTGCAACAAAAGTGTAATAGTGCGTTCAGCGTGTGCATTAAAAAGTGGTCATGTGCATCGGTGACTGCCAGCATGCGTGTTGCTTTAAGAACCCGAGTCAGATCGCTGCTCAGAGCCAACAGGGCTTTAAGGAACACATCAATGGCTCTGTGAGCAGGAATTAACTACCCATGGCATATTGTTTCGGTTCCAGTCATCTACCTCATATGCAGTTCGGCTTGATGCTAAACAAATTAGGTACGCTATATATAAATATATATATATATTCGCACGTGAACGACTGTGTGTGTTTGTGTGTTTGCTTGTGTGTAATGTGTCATAATCTCATTTTCTGGATTTATTTCGTCGTAGTTAGTGTTCCGATTGAAGAAAAACTTGTGGCGAAACGTAGTGGAACATTAGTTGTAGTATTGCGAATGTGTTAATGTATGTTCATGTAGTCGAAACCACACCGGCGGCGGCCATATTAGTGCTTAAACAGGGTTCACCAGCGTACTACGTGGTGATTGGAAGACGACGTCTTTCCTATGGGTGCACTGATCAACTTGGCATTGTTCAGATTTTCACAAGACTGGGACGAAATAGATACATCTGCGATAACGCTTCTATACCAAGTGTACGGAATGGGATGTTTCTTTTCCTCAGCTTTGTTCGTCTTTTGCACATCGTCTTAAGGCATCTTGTTCTCCATTAGCCGTCCCCTTTGAAATCCCGTGTTTCCAATCTCGTCCGTCCCCATCTCTGTAAACATCGCGTTCTGGGGGTATTGTTGGTGGTTGCTGCTCCGTGGAATATTATCACTGTCCTATTTAGAGCGAGATGAATACGCCAAGGGATTGGTGAATTACACACTTAAGGGTCGTCGGATTTGAGAGAAAACCACGTTTAGAATGTTTTATAACAGTGAAATGCGACGTTTCTTTGGGTCTGTCAGGAGTTTGAGTGCAAACATGTTGGTAGTAAACAATTTTGATACAAGAGTTAGATTACGCTTTCTTTCATCTGCCGGGGTGATTGTTGTGCGCGTCTGTATGACAAGTGAGTTATCTGTGGTCGTTGAATCTGCCCCTCAATGGGGAAAACTAAGCGTTAAGAACGAGAAAATGCACAGTCGTTTGGTTGGTATATGTAGCATTAAACTTAGCGATCCTATCAGGTAACAAACGCCGGGTTTTATTTCAAAAGAGTTGCCGTTTTCCTGTCTGTACCGTATTGTGGACGTTATTCTGTAAAACCTTGTACAACATAACAAATTGTATACGCATGCATTACCATATGGAATGGCGCAATAACATATATGATAATCTTTTGTGAAAGACGAATTTAAAAATAATATTTCCTGTGATTTTTGTTGATAATTTATGTTCCTTGCTTTTGTCATGTAATAATTCTTTTATATTTAAGATCTAGATAATTTCAGTGCGTTCTTCAATATCGCCAGAAAAGACCTTCACGCACAATAACGAAATTTATATATATATATATGTATATAAAACAAAAAGTATTTATAATTTAAGAAAAATCAAAGGTTGTTATAATTTTACAAAGGTAAACAATCCCATAAAAAGCTTACACAGGTCAATTAAGCCAGCAAAATATCCCAAAAATGGTCTGGATGATAGGCAAGCTTAGAACTCTGTCTCCTACCAGTTTTGTATAACCATCACTCTCAATCAAATCTAAATTTATTTGCAAGATTTCTAAAACTCACAACTTATAATTGCTGTTAAGGCCGAACTTAATGTACATTTTGTAAGCAGTAATGTTATCAATGGTTACCTTTGACTACTTTTAAAATAAAAAATATGTCAATAACTCGCCACATGGAATACCTTAAAACCCAGGTTTTAGCTAGAGGACCTTTATGTCGTGTAAAAATCTAAAACGGTTATCATTCTTAAATTGCTTCATTTAAAATGATAAGATGTTAGGAATTAATTTTGCAGTAAAACGACCATTTGTTTGAATACTCTGACCTAGGGGCTTGATGTGTGGGTTGCGCTCTAGTGAAGTGCACCCCTCCCTGTCATCCTCCAAAGGTGTCACCTTAAACGGGATATTGCTGCTAATAACTCCACTGTATAATACCAACACATATGATAGCAAATATGATTAGTAAGAGTCGGTATTCAGCCCAGGGCGGCTCACTGTCACCAGGCCCCGGCGATGGACCAAACTCGTGGCGTGTGTCGTGGTTGGTGGGTTTAATTTCCCTGACGGGTGAATTGACAGATCACGTCAAGAGCAATCATAACTGCCCCTATTGTTCCAGTGCAAATGAAATTAAACATATCGAACAGAGATGCTAATTAATTTTCGAAGCTTGTGATATTCATGTTTCTAGTCAGTTTGCTCAATGGGAAAAATTCCACGTGTTGTCTGTATATTGTTCACTTTATAATCGGGTTTTATGTACATATTTATATACAAACATATATCCATATGAATAGCATTTATTGCAGAAAATTGTTGTATATTCAAGCATCCCCAAGTTTCAGCCATATTCTGTCATGTGGTATTTTTTATTTGTTACCACATTATGCTCTCTCAATTCAGGGGTAAAAAGAGGATCGCTTTCGTTTATATTTTATAATTCCTCCTTTGCTTTTTAGAACATAATCCAATATTAGCCACTCTTGCTATCGACTTATTTAATCATAATACGCCATATGCTACCGCTATAATTTGCAGGAGGGTTTCCCCCATTAATTTGGCTTTTTCTTTCCTTGTCTAGGCCACGGCAATCTGAACCAATTGGGAGGCGTTTTCATCAATGGTAGGCCCTTACCCGATGTAGTGCGCCAGCGTATTATAGAGCTGGCACAACAGGGAGTGAGGCCATGCGACGTCTCAAGACAACTACGTGTCTCACATGGCTGCGTCAGCAAAATTTTATCCAGGTAAATTTTTACAGTTTTCTTACGACTCTTTTAATTTTTCTATTCCTCTTAGGCCATGGTGGTGTCAACCAGCTCGGCGGAGTGTTCGTCAACGGTCGGCCTCTTCCGGACGCCGTTCGGCAACGGATAGTTGAACTGGCGCAGCAGGGAGTCAGGCCGTGTGACATTTCCAGACAGTTGCGCGTGTCACATGGCTGCGTAAGCAAAATATTGGGCAGGTAAATGGGAAATGGGAATTATTCCAGCTAATACGTTCTGCTTGCTTTAGAAAGTCAACATACCCTTTTTGTAATAAATGAGAGATGGTTTTTTTTTGTTTTGTTAGTTTTTTTGCAAATGGTTGAGGGGTATTTTTTAAAAAAGATCTGACAATTCCACGACCCTCATAGAACTGTTCCTTCTCTAGAAATACCTATTTTCAAGCTTTCTAATTTTTATCTCTTTTTCCTTTTACCACAACGCCTGTAATTAATGTTAAGGGGGAGGGCTACCTTGTTTAAATCCAGTAAAATGTCTGTTCTGTTAAAAGAAACAGATACACTCTTGCAATCTGCAGCCGTAACCGAACACCGCTAAACGTCGGGCCTCAACAATACGGTCTTTTAATAACAACACGCAAAAAAGATTTTCTTTAGAAATGCCGGTTTTCAAATTCCGCATTACGAAGTAAAGTAGATACTTATTTTCAGCATTTTTGTATCAAAGTTAAAAGAGCAGGATCAGATCAAAGCGACTCCCTATAGTGAGTGGAGACGACTGTGTTTTTTACCGAGGTAAAATAGTCGTGACCTCTACGATTAAACAGCACCTGTTCCAACGTTCGTTCTCTAAAATAATTTTTCTGACCGATGCCAGTTTCTTTTACCCTGAAATGAGTTAATCTTCAAAGCTGCTACTTTTTCCAACAGCAAAGTCTTGCATCTGAGGCACTTCTTATTGATTATATTGATCTAAAAGGCCTAAGCAACTGCACCGATATTTCAAAGTCGAATAAAAGACATGAAAACTGCGTTATTTTGTGCCTTTATACAGGAAAAAACTTCAATGGAAACGACGTTTCGTTGAGGTCAAAGTCAGGCATTCAGCAAATCATTCTGCTAGCTTTATATTACTTCCACTCCACATGACGAGGGCTGAGATATTAATGGTGCCGTGAAGTGTGGTGTTAGGAGCCTTTAAAGAACTATTTTTTTCTTTGTGCAATACGGATTTTACCAACCAAACTATTATACTTATTTGTTATATTTTCTCTGGGGCTTTCCTTCTAGATGATTCATCAAGTATGCCGTTTTTTTTCTCACAAACACAACAATTATACCAGTAAATTATTTTGTTTTCTTCCCCCTCTCCAAGTCCTTTTAAACATTTTTAAATATCTGCATTTTTCACTGCTTGTCAGCCTACCGAATTTAAGTGAAAATTATTACCGCTGGAATTGGACTGATTGTTGAGGATTGTCGTGAAGCTTGCTCCCTATGGCCTGAAGGTGACGAGGAACCCCCTTCCGGCGACAGGTCGGAGAGAAAATAAATGACCTGCTACAGCCAATACTTGCACAGATCAAATAACAAGACAAACATTTCGCCGTGTTGAACTTTATTGTTTTACATTTAATTCGCCCCCTTGTGGTTTGTGGTCTATTAGTTATTCTGGAGAAAAGGGAAAAAAGGGTGATAGATTGAGAAATAACGCACATTCTGAAATGATTTCAAAGAAATAAATTAACTCAATGAAACGAATAGAGAGTTAAATATTAAGGAATAGAGAAAACCTTTTGAAAATGAACATTTGGTCCAAAGGCGAAATTATTTTATAGAACAAAAGTTATCACAAATAACTAACGTAGCCGACCAAAGGTTTCTTTAGTGTGGAAAATAGAGACAAAATGTAAGCACTATAACAGGCGAGGGAAATTTATGTCCCTGTCACAGAAATCGAGATTGTCAACGAATATTAAAACGCTGAACATTTCTTAGTTGCATCTTATTAATTTAATTCGGTTGTTAACACCTGGGTATCGCACTGACCATCGTCCGACCCATGCATCACAACGCCACGGACGACCCCGTATCCAGATTTGGTCAGAAGAGCTACGTAACCCAGCGTCCGATAGCTGTTTGATTTATGTCTAATTTATGACATTTTCCTCGTGTCAATCTCGGCCCTTCGCGCCTCGCATCACAGGAATCCCACAAGTGATAAACAATCACGCATTAATTGTTTATTTATCTGTGTTATTACTCCAAACAACAATACGGCGTCACGGACACCTTGGCCGGCAGGTCGCAGGTCTCCGTTAGGGTGCCAATTAATCAAACTGATTAGACCAACCGTACCGACTCATGGAGATCAGGGAGAGATACCTGGCGCGGTCGCGTTACGGTGTTCGATAGTATCGTGTCCACTCAGGCGCCGGGTCAATCCTTATAGAATAAGATTTTGGTTGTTTGGGAAATAACGAAGAAGGAAATAACGAGAATCGAAATAAATAATACTGGTCGTAAGAGCACATTTTAAAGATAATAAAATAACCGTGTAGCTTACCTTCTTTTAAACAATAATGAAAACCCCGTCTTCTGTGGCACGCCTACTCCTAGAAATAATTTCTTAGAAATAACCACAATTAGCTTCATGAAGTTGTTCTTTATTACGCATTTATAGACTTTCATATTACCCATGACATATTCCCATTTCGACTCGGATTATTAAGCAAGCGTGTTTTATTTTCTCCCTTTCATCAATTGTAATAGGGATATTGTAATGAAGGCAACTCATCAGATGTGAGGGCACGTAGCAATCCTGATTCCAAAGGAGAGAACTGTATGGTCGTCATAGCAACGCTACATTCTTTCTTTCATTTTATACACGCTTTCTAGTCGGAAGCGTAATCAGACACTGTGATTTTTTACCTCGTTTCGCTGATCAGATTTTTTAATAAAACGCTGTAATTTGTCAATTGGTTGTGAGCTGAGATATAATAACAACAGCACTCGGCCAAGTAAGCCGTTTGTCAGTCAGAATTTGTTGAACACTGAAGTACGGAGGATTTTTGACCGAAATTCTAATTCTTGCTCCGATATTCTCATATAAGCTCGATGTTTTGTATGATTGTATACAACTGTCATATTTTCAACATCGGATTTTGATTTCAGATACTATGAAACGGGTTCCATCAAGCCAGGGGTCATCGGCGGTTCCAAGCCGAAAGTTGCCACCCCCAAGGTTGTCGATGCCATTACGAAATACAAGCAAGAAAACCCGACGATGTTTGCTTGGGAGATCCGGGACAGACTTCTAGCGGAGGGGGTGTGTTCGCAGGACAACATCCCCAGTGTCAGCTCCATTAACAGGTAACGTCAGTTAGAGACCATTTCAGATAGCAAGAAAGTAATTATAAACAGTTCACGTCGTTAGGGCACCAATAAAAGATCCATAAAGTTGAGAAAAGGGGAGATTTAACTCGATGCGTTCTACTATATGACACTTTCATACATTATGAAATAGAAATACGTATCTAAGTCACGTTTTTGACACCTACGTCGTATAATTACCGCTAAATTGTCGTCAAATACCTTAGTCGAAACGTCACCAGTCTGCATTTGACAGGGTAGAATTAGAGGGCGTGAGAGGGAACGCCCTTTATGCTTGTATTTACACAATCCCAAACGAACCCGCTTGATATTATACAAAATGGCATCTTAATATGTGATGCCGAAATGCGCTTGAGGCTAACTTTGTTTTGTTCCTTGAAAAACAAGATCGAAGGGCACTTGTTCATCTGTCAACCCGGCTTTGAATTATTGTTTGAAAGTATTCTCAGAGCGTAATGTTATCTTCGACTGTTGCGTGCAACTTGCTATACGTCTTTGGAATCAATAGGCATATGCCTTTTTTTCTGTTTAGGTCTTTTTAATGATATGAGTTGTAATAAATCGCACCTGCAGACTTCAAATCAAAATTGTGTCCCGGTCGCACTCTTTGGCTTAATAAGTAGAGAATTTGCGCAAGTCCCGTTGCTCGTGCGTTGAAATGTGGAAAAACAATACACCTCGTAATTGTTGAAACTATTTCGGCTTTATTTGACACCTAAGAGGTCAGCACACGTGCAAGAAGAATTTTTTCAGCAAGTTAAAAAGAAACTGTTATTAAGAATTCGTGTCTGTTTAGGTTATAAGTTGTCAAAGTGAATAGTTGTGGCAAATGTCTTGTGTACGAAAATTGGAAAGTAGGACGGGTTTTTATTCGATTTAAATAGCGGGACACACAAACAAAGTTTTATTAAGATCGGCAGGCGACGGTATTTTTCCAACATGGTAGCCTACTTCTGCGTTTATGTTATTATTCAATCAAAATATGATTGGCAATATTTTGCCCCGACAGCGAACGTCAAGGGCAATGAAGTGACATGGTGTGAAAGAAAACAACGTCGCTCATCACAAGAGCAGTAATAAAATCAGAAAAAGACAAAACTGATGTCTCTTTTAGCTGGCAGATTTTAATTACACGGTGTTCAAACAGAAACAATGTGGAGATGCAGAGGGATTTTTAAAGGCTCATCTTTCAAAGACTGATGAATTTTTAGCCTGGGTTGCCGTCACATGGCAGTTGATAGGTCTGTAGTGGAGCGGAAGAACTGCAGCAGCTCGAGTAATGCGCCCCCTTCGCACACCTGCCGACTTAAACACGAGTAATCCTAGCACTGTAAAAACCACAATTTCCAGAGTCGATGAACAGAACAAACACAACTGACTCAAAAGACCAAATGAGATAAATAATGAAAAGGACAAGGTATTACCCGGTGACACTCTACACTTTTGAAATTTAGGGGATTCACGATCGAATTAACCTCGTCTTTCATACTCCAAATCGCAAGCTAGACTTTCTTTCATTTTCTTCTCCCCGCTTTTCTGCCGCTTTAATAAGCAACAATCAATGACTTGATAATGGGAAGAAGTAATGATGGAAATTATTATTGGCTCTTTGGGACGAGTGGAAAATGTAGATAGAGAGACGAGACAATACTTAATGCGACGGGGATCAGCGGGGTATGGGCCTTGCTATGAAAATTCGATTATCTCCCATTAAAATCTTAATTTTGAAAACTCTTCGACATCATTTCATTAACAGGGTAATAACACTCTACGACAGAAGGTCCTATTGAGTTAATTGACAATCACATTTAAAGAATAACACTGTGCTCACAAAGAAATCTGACGGGGACTGTTTGCTATTTCTTAATCACTCGCTTACTCCAACATTCTACACTTACGGATATTGCTTCGAGGGGAAACGAATTGACTTTCTGACTTTCGAGTTCAGGAAACCAGCCCTTTCAATATTTACTTGGAAATCGCTTTAAATAAAAACGACCTGTTATGGATTGCCGTATTATTCAAAGCTTAATAGCAATATTAGATACTTCCTTTGAGACTCGGATGAAGCTGAGAGTGATATGTGTGATTTTAGAAAATGTTGTTCGGAAATACGTAACATTATGTGAAGCGTTTCGATTTTAATTAAGTTTTCCATTAAAATGATTTAAATAGACTCAGAAACTTGAGATTGGAGACTGTTTAATTCTAAAAGAGATGAATGCAAGAAATTTATTAAAAATGACATCGGTCTCCGAATTTGAACTGCCGATTTAAAGTTTTTCGATTGAAAGTGTTAAGTAATTACCAAGATAGAGACCACTCTTAGAGTTAAAACGCGCACATGCAAATGCAATAACAATTCGTTTTCCTTTGCTTTAGAAATGCGTGAAGTGTCAACAATATTCCTTGTTAAGTCCTCGGGGTTATTCTGAAGTTCGACTTTCTCTGGGAAACATAAGATATTGATAAAGGCCGGGGCGTAGCACACCGAGACCGCTTCGATATTGCCGTTTGGTAAAGGAAAAAGTCATTAATCACTGTCATCGTGGTAGCCGTCAACTACTACACAATACAAATCAAAACTCGGACGACAAAGTGCACAGCGGCATGTGCAAGTTAATCAAGTACCAGTATCGGGCTTAAAAAGTACGCACTGTTTTAAATGTCAAATCTTCTTTCTGTAATTATTTCTGGAAAATGCACGCAATGCCAATTAAAAATAACATTAAATGGCATGCTAAAAACCCCTATTGCCTCGTTCAAAGTTATTAAAAGACACAAAGATCCGCTGAAATTACTTACTTATTTCACTCTGAGGGTACATTGTTAAATCTTGGATATCTATTTCCGTGGAAATCATACGGCCGAATTTTCATCCATGGAATGAATAGGTGTCAATTTCTGACTTATCCGGATTTGCGTAAAATTTCTTACACCTGTCTCAGATCGCTTAGAGAAAGAAAATTAACAAAAAAATTGAAATTGCTTTTTTGTCCTTATTTTTAAACATAAAAATCACGTATTTCATTTAAGTTTTAGGCCTTTTTAAGCTATTTAACAGATGTAGATACGAATAAATTCAAATCGACATTGATTTAATTACTATATCCCATGAGTGAACATCAACATATATATATTGACATTTACATGCCTTGCTATTCAGCTTTTTCCTCGATATTTTCATTTATCACCCAAGCTTTCACCTTTTTCTCACAATAAAAAAATTCCCTTTCTTCAGAATCGTACGTAACAAAGCAGCCGAAAAAGCCAAGAGTCAGTCGCTCCACGGGGGTCAGCCTTCGCCTGTTTCCCCGGGGAACCCCAGCCCTGTGACTCTCTCCCAGGTGCCGACGAACGCGGACGCCCTGGGTAGACCCGGCCCCTACTCCATGAGCACGATACTGGGGATCCCCAACCACTCCGTACAACAGGGACAAAACTCCGACATCAATGGAAACAAGAGGAAAAGAGAAGATGGAGGTAAATATTTTTTTTATTTTACTAGTTCAGGTTTAATTCTATTTCATCATCATCATCATTATTATTATTATTATTATTATTATTATTATTATTATTATGTGGAGAGGTTAATATTTTACCAGGAATTAACTCCTCAAAATGGTCATTTTAATGCGCTGTTTATCAGTTCTCATGGATTTTGCAATATTATAATATCCAGAGACAGAGTTTAACATAAATTATTTTGACATTAAGAAATTAACAGTTGTACAGAGGGGGTTATACAGTGACTCACGTACATTTTCTGACATCATACGAGTTTCAGATGAACATTTGATAGCGTCCAAAATCTTTTAACTGTTTCGTCATTGTTTGGTGGACCGAAGGATTGGTAGATTTCGCGTTTGGGTTTTCGTTGGTTTAATACTTATTTATTGCTGTAAGATTACGCTCAAGCTTTCACAATTATATTACTCCAACGAAGGACATTTTGTAAACAAAATAAGTTTTTGTAAATATAGATAAAATAATCTCTGTATAATAAAAGAAAAACAAGCTGATGTCACTTGAAAAAAATGTATCTACATGCTTTGCAGGGCAAAAAGATCAAAACATTATCGAATGGAATAGAGGTATTTCAGCTCGTCTGAATAAAAACACGAAACAAATAACGCGTTAAAATGGATTAAGATCTCAATAAAGCCAGAGAAAGAAGCAACGCGCCACAGTTTATTTTAACGTTCAAGAGGCACAGCAGTGTTCACCACAAGACCGAAAAAGAAAAAGCCTGCAATTGAGTTTTTTGCTTGGGTGGCTTTGTACAATTTTCTGCTACAGTGTAGATAGAGCAGAAAACATTAGGGATTCCCCCGAGAGGCGGAGGGAGCAACCCCTCCGTTTGCCTGTCACTTAATGGTAGTTCAATTTAACTCGATACTCTAAGGATTGTTTCAGTTTAGTAATTAGTATCAGATCTGTCAGTTTAAATTGATGTTTAGCATATTCCGCTAACTTTTTCATTATCCAGCAAATTCATTGGGCGATCGTCTTAAGCCGTACTATATTATTGCGCTGTCAGAGTCGAAATGATTTTCATTACCGCATTCGCTCAGAATGGTTAACACTGATCAATCATGGAGCTTGCATTGGCACACAGACACTGAATCGATACAGAAAACATTATCATCTATCTTAACTGCCAATGCACGCAGCTACTTTTCTCTGGTTCAGAACCTGAAACATTGGCGGTGTTTTTTTCTGTTGTCGTAAGAAATTCAATATTTTTGCGGATCACAGCCAAAGAAGGCAGTCGGTACATAGTAAGGCAAAAATAAACGGCATTGAAATAGGTGTATTGTTACCGAGGTAGCGAAGTTAGCGAAGTGAAGCTTTTGTTTTATTTTGTTTTCTTGTGAGCGGAAGCGACCTTTGGCACCTAGAATATGCTATGAGATCGAAATTCGGGTTTTCTTTGATTTAGAAAAAACGAGACATTTAAATTTAGACACTTTACCTGAACTTTAGTTCATTAAATCAATGTATTAATTGAAAATATTTCACCGAGATTCGAAATGGTGTGCATTTAAATCAGTCACAGAACCTAAGTAATTTTTTACGGATCAACCATTTTTGTTCACGTTATTGATTGTATTTCTTTATATGGTGTCTTTATACTTTATGCTTATTGTTTGGAGAGTCGAATAATATTTTCAGTGTCCAAATTAACCGCATCTTTTCAAAATCGCCAGAAAAAATATTTAGGCATGTCGGTCAATGAAGTTACCCAATGGAAGCGAAAGAACAAAAGGCTGTTTACAGGACAAAACCTATTAGATATACAACAAGGCTCTTCTTAATTTACCGCTTCATGAAACTTGTGCAGGTGGTGGTTTTAGTCAGGTGCGTCTTTTTTTAGGGGGGGGGGTCTTAGCCGTAATCCGATTGTCCCTTCTAGCAAAACAGCTCTCTGGCTTGATAACAACTCTGGACACATCGAAAGGGAATGTATCCATGCAAGAAAAATTAATTAAAAGATTATTCCTAGCGAATCAGCATTCTGTCAGTATTTATTACATCAGTGGTCGTTTTACCAAGTGGGACGGCTTGCTTGACAAGGTATTTTATACGTTTAAGCAGTAATTAAAGTAAAACAACCAGTTGCCAATTGATCAATAGACGTCTTCGCTACGCTGGAGTGGTCACGAGCAAACCATGATTTTAAGTACTCATTGCAGCAACTTGAAATACCTCATAAAACAATAGTCTACCCGGGGTCTCGACTGGCAAATATATTTTGCTGTAAAAAAATCAAAATTGAGTTTCATCGGAGACATATCGATTCTATGTTTTGACCCAGAGATTTTGATTGCATTTTGTCGGGGTAGAGCTTTTTTTAGGGGGCGCAGGATTGTGTTTCTAGCATGTAATGCCCCTGGGAGAGGGCGCTAAAGCACACAAAAGGTTCGTGTTATTAGTAACATATTATACACTTTATCAATCAAATATAAAATCATAATGGTCATTAGACGTTCAAAGAAGCCATTAATACGATGCTCTACGCCTTGCCATCAATTATTTGTGATAGAGAAAGAGAGAGAAGGGGTGGGAGAAGGGGGCGGGCTATGACCTTTCATTTGGTCCGGTTGGTCACTTTTGGCGTGATTAACCAACAAAAATGTTCGTCAAATCGGGCGAACGGTATTGGCATCAAGGTCTCTTGAAGATAAATGAAAACGAAAGTTATTCATAAATCAAGACGGTTTCTAATTTTCTAATAAAATGTTACTTAATTGAGCAGATGTCTTAAAATGCAAATATTGATGACATCTATAAAAACCGAAAGACGAAAGCCAAAGCCAAAGCCAAATTTACGAAATATTTATATCATTTTGCTAATATAATTTTAACATCAATCGATTTAGATTTGTCAGTTGGATCACTTTAACATGGCCGACGGCATATAGTATTAACGACATCGCTCAGTTAGCAACAGTAAATTTTAATAAGTACTATTAACGCTAAATTTCTTTAGAAATAATGCGTTTATCATTTACGCGCTTTTGTTATGCTTTGTTTTCTAGTGAACGGCCACGGTGAGAATGAAAATGACGGGAGCAGAGATGACCACGAAGATGCAAGGGATATTGACTCGGTAAGTAGTCTAAGTTAACGTGATTTTGAATGTTTGTGTTTTAGCAGAAGTATCGATTTAGGCAGTCATGTTTAGCATTCAAGATTTGCAGAGCATTCTGTAGGCACGGGTTTCTATAGAAGACGGTACTTTTGCAGAGAACTTAAAATGAAGCAGATAATTTTACTGCGGAACGCTCGTGACGATGTAATTGATTCTACTTGTTTAAAATATTTTGTTTAGTATTTAAAACTAATTCATTTAAATAAGAGAGCCAGACAGAGGCTTATGATGCTGTTTACAGAAGGAGATTAATTTAATTGTGATGCCGGGAAGATGGGATGTTACTGGTTTCAGTGTTACCCTTACTTTTGGATTAGTTTACGTCTGTTTCATCTTCATAATTACATGGCGTGGAGATGATGGAGCCTTCATGCAATTGATGCTCTTTTTGATGCTCTTTTTATTTTCTCTTTCTTTTCATCTTTTGCTAATGAATATAGTCAGTTAAATTTTCATGAACAATTATCTTAAGTTTTGAACTTACCGACGATATTCCCTATTCTTGTTTTTTTCATTCAACTAGAAATTGTTTTACACATTTTGAACGGAAAAATCAATCTTTATTCATAAAACTTTCAGTTATGGACATACCGAGGAGCAAAACTTCCAAAGAATGAGGTCGACTCAGGGGACTTAGCAAACTCTATCGCCAGCACATTTCAAATTCCTTCTTACGGCGGAGGGGGCAGTGGTTCGGCCATGCAGCCGGTGGTCAGTTCGCCCGACGCTGGTGGGGACAGTAAATCCCACGAGGTGGTCACCTATGGCGCTGGACACAGCATAGCCAATATGAACACTGCAGTAAATAACTTAACTTCACCGACTGCTGCCTCAGAAGCTCAAAACAGTTCGTCAGGAAACTATTCCCCTTCACTTGGTAGGTCACCGACCATCATGCTTTCTTCTCTTTTCTTTTTTCCTGTCCTAAACCTTCCTTCCTTCCTTTATTGATGGATTTTTATAACTTTTCCTCGCCAAAACTTCATCTTTATTGTTGGAGATTTCAACTTTAAACTTTTGTCAACTGCATGTTTGTTACATGAGGGTGAAGGATAAACATTTTTCAAATCCAAAGACAGAACTTGCTTGATTTTTCTGTTGTCTCCAACCTTATAACAATGGGACCTTTTCATAAGAGAGTAAAGGTTGAAGTACATGTTTGTAAAATTATTTGATGTTCTTAATGGTCTTGAGCAAAGGATGTTTTGAACTGTCCAGCTTTGTTTTCTGGTCAATGTTTTTAACGATGGCAAGGCTGATGTAGCGTTGACAGTCAACATAGCAGTTAGGTATTGTGTTAAAGCTATGCTAGGAATACCGTTACTTGACTGTAAGCCTGCCTGTTTTAAAGCTATCACTTTTAAAAGACGACGTGTAAGCCACTTATAAAAAAAGAAAATTCCTATTGCAACTTTTTTTTATTTTCAAACATCCAAACTTGTTGCAATTTGTTGAAGAGAGATTTTTCTTACAACCTTCTTTTCAATTGCCTAATTGTTTCAAGTGGGTGCCAATTTATTTTGAAATAACTGAATTTCATTTTCAGTCTTTAATGCCTTATCATGTCAACCTGATAATTTTGCAATAATATTTATTTTCAATTTTACTGTAAGATAAAAACAGAAGGAAAGATCATAAAAGGGAAAAGAATGACACTTTTTTAAATTTTTTTAAGAACACAAATTTTCTGAATGCATTGTTTGCTTTGAAGCAATATGTTATGAGGCACTATATGCAAACTATTTTAATTGCAAAAATCATTTCAAATTTATAATTTCACAAGGCTTTAAAGATGTATAACATGCACACTACTGAAAAATAATAGCTATGGACAAAAAAGCCTGACTTTTGCAGTTGATGAAAACATTTCCTGATAGAAAATATAATGAGAAAAAAGAATAAGTTGGTTTTCAAAACATTCTTGGTAATTCATCATCAGGCATTGTAGCTTTTCCTTTTTTCTTCTCCTTTTTTATATTTCTTTTTGAAAACGGTATCAAATGCGCTTAAACCTTCAACATTTCCCATCAATCATTGACATTTTTTTAGAAATTGGGTGAAAGAAAGAAACATTTGGTGCATTCCGACTTCAGAAAAAGTGGTTGTGTTTCACAAATTTTGACATAAAAGCAAGCTTACAAGAAATTATAGTATAGTATAAATGATGATTAATCATCTGTCACCTGTGTCTTCTGCTCATGTTTCACTCAATATGGGCACACTTAACTTTTTTTTCATGTCTTTATTCTCAAGACCTTGTGCCAACGTCTTTGACCCAGGCAGTTGTGAGACCCAAAAGTGGAAAAGGCTGGGAAATTAAAGTTACCTTTTCTACACAGTCCCTTTTGAGACCTTGCAGGTTATCTTACATATAATTGGACGATCTGGCCCCTCTTTTCATCCATCCACTATCAAAAGATACACATGACAGGATATTTGTTGCCAACCCCATTTTCTCCACTCATTTTGCAGGACAATACACTGACATTAAGCCATTCGAGCCCATTGCTGATTTTCTATTTGTGTTGTATGTAATCATCTGTAATGTGAGCCACCTTACTTTCCCCCAATTCTGTAATTTGGGAGGTGGGGAGAGGGCGATTTGGCTGTCAAACAGCTGAACAGCTGTACGCGTAATGAAGATGAACCCTTTTCTCTCCCAATTTTCTCCAATACTCAACAAGAGGCACAGTGCGGCTGTGATTATCTTAATTCTTTTTATCAAATTTACCGTCATAGCTTTGTAAGCCTGTCTTTGTCAGGATTTGAAAAATATGGGAAAAAACAAACCCTTAGCTTATTATTGTGATAAGCAATCTTGTTATTTTTCAACAGGTGAGGGCTTGACTCATGGGTAAGAAAAAATGACAAACTTTTTAGGGTGAAAATAAACTGCATTATTTTTTCATAATAACCAGTTGACAATACAGCCATTCAGACATTAAGGAAACCAATTCTGGGTCTAAATTGTTGAGAAAGTATGCATTTTCCAAGATGGGTAATGGCATCAGCTACGCCCATCATTTGACACTTATGATCATTGCATACATGTTTATCTGTCAGTGCACCTGTAATTAACAAGGGACAATAGGACCACCTAGGGGGGCAGAGAATTCCACAAAAAACACCCGTAAAGTTTTTGGTTGAAGCTGAAATTTACATGTAATTAATAACATCGTACCTTTGTGGAAATTGCCCATCAAAGTTAAACATATTTGACTACCATGTTTGAATATTGTCTTTTTAAAACCAAAAGCAACAATTTTTTGTTACAGATATCCACTTGAAAATGTTAACAACACAGTGTGTGTCAGATACAACCTATATGATACATTTTATCAAAATGTTATGTCATCTAGTCATTGGTGAAAGAGAATAGCCAATTTTAATGAATACCCATTGTTGCTGTTTTTATCTGTAAACTAAACTTAAAGAATTATCATCAATAAATTATTTCAGATAAATGTTTCTGTTATCTAAAAACATTTGCAGAAAATTTATTTGGATTTTTATCACATTTTGCATCTGCATTTAGGTTCTGTAACACCTATTTATAATCGGATGGATGTTAAAGTATTGGAATCTCATCATTTGGCCGAACAGGGAGCTTTTGGGAGTAAGTGTCATACACAGTTATAGCACTAATATCTAGATGGCAAGGGAATAGGCATAAAACGTATGTTACCTAGAAATGCTGAGGAGATAACATAATAGTCTGAGAGTAGAGGAAGCACTAGTTAAAACAGGTGCCTTTAGATTGGTAACTTGAATAACATTGGGATTGCTAGACAGTTTGTAGTGATAATTTGGTTTTTAAAATCCATATTTTTACCTGCTGTGTGGATAACCTGCACTTATTTGGATATCTCCATGTCTGAGTGCATTCTTATTTCTGCATTAATATTAAGAAAACAATGGAATAAGATTTTGTATAGAAAAAGTACAATGTAAAGAATTGATTTTTGCTTAAGTAATATGCCCAATGACAAATCAATTTATGGAGTTTTAAACCTTCATTTTAGTTAACCTATTTATAAAATAGCTCTGTCAATATATTCATTTGACACAAAAGCAAATATTTTTAGTATTTATTTAATATCATCTCATGCAGAAGATACTATAAAAGTTTAAAAAAAAATCATCTAAATTGCAACAAGCACACATTGAATGTTTTGACTGAATTTGTCATTGTTGATTCTTACATAAATTAAAATTAAAACATATACATATTTCCACTCTTTGGACATAAAATACATACAGTTGTACTTGTTTGACATTATTTTTGATTGGACTCTTAACAGCAAGGGTTATAACTTGTTTTATTATATCATAAATATTAATAAATAGATAAGACTGCATCTTTGCTAATTTAGACAGTTAAACTAGTAAAACTAATATGAATCAACAAAATTACACAAAACATGCAATTTTTCTGTATATGTCTTTGAATTAGTTTTGTGTTTAATACAGTGCCCTCCAACTTGACACCAGAGTGCATACAACTTGAAATGAAAAAAAAAAAACTGCATCCTTGCTCACTGTGTAGTCACCTAGTCCCATGCCAGCGCCAACAAAACGTACAAACTATACACTTCATCATTTTCCTTGATTTCAACACAAAAGGATTGTTGTCCTTTTTTTTTTATCCATCCCCCTCAAGTCTCCAAACACATAATTTCCTAATTGATTGACATTCACCATCTAAGTAGTTTTCAAGCAGCCCATCCACTCATATTGTTGTTTTTGTTTGGGTTTCCTATTACTGCTTGATACATCTGACTGGCAGCTTGATTTGAATTTTTCATTTCCTCCTTAGCCTTTTAGTATTCCAGCATAAGTGATCTTGGTTGTATTGTACCTCCCTATTCCAATATCTCCCAGTAGATAGAGTTGCAGCAGTGTTTTCCTAAATGGATTTAGTTCCAGTGCCAAACACAAAAGTCTGATGGAAAAATCTCTTAAATTATTCAGCAAAAATAGGGTATATGGAAATTAAATTAGGGATGGAGTCGATGAACTGGTTAGAACATAGGGCTCTGTTGTATTAATTCCTCTTATGTTTGCAGAGCAGATTTTGTTGTATTTATTTTATTTGTTCTCATCAAGGTTTTGTTAGTGATCAGTAGATTTCCTGGTTGAGATAATGTATCTGCTGTTAAAACCCCATCAATACTGCATGGAGCATACTAACGCATGGCAAAGACTGTTCTTCCATAGAAAAAGATACTGATTAGCCAGCAGGAAACAACCACCACCATTTATTGATCTTTTCTCCTACAACTTTTTGTTTTAAGTTTTGTTTTTAGTCATCTCGACTTTTTCAGTTTTCGATTTAGAATTTGCTATTCCATTTTTGTTTGTAGCTAACAACAACAACAACAACACGCCAGCCTCAATTAACAATGTCCCATCATCCCCCATGAAAGTCCAGACCGAGGCTGCCCAGGCGGTCGAGACCAGCAACGGTAGTTTGACCGAACTGAAACCCATTTCTCAGGGAGTTCCCACTCCGCAATCATACAACAACATTCCGTTTAGTTCCACAGGGCAGTATTGTAAGTGGACCACAGGTCAGAGAGGCATAGACTGACCTTTTGCTTATTGATACTGACCTCAACTTTCCATAACCCTCCTCTCCTATTCCTCTCCATCCTCATCCTCATGGGGTTTTAATATTTCATTGATGTTCTGGTTTAGGGTCTAACCAACAGCCATCCTGCAGAGACACATCAACATTATACTTTTACAGTAACAGTCGTAACAATAATATGGCCTTGTTTTGGTTCATGGTTTGATTTGTATTGTTTGTACTAATTATTGTCCTGTAATTTGCACTTAACAAGATTTTATATCTGCATTTTATTAACTTTTTAAATAATTTATTTATTTTCAAATTACATCATGTTGCCCATTGTTTTCATTGAAATTTATCCATTTCCCATTACAGAAAGTTAGACAGATCTATAAAAGTAACTAATCTAAAAAAATATTGGTTTATTTCTTAACTGGTTTCCACAACATTTGGCATATGTTTGAACCAATAATGTAGGCAGTATGTTGAATTTTAGTTTTGTGCAGTATATTATAATTCTGATGAGGAATAGTGTGAGCATATAACTGTTTTCTAAATGACTTTTTTAGTTTGGTAAATTATGTTCATTTATTGTTATGGATGCCATTTACACAATTAATTTTAAATAATACCACAAAAGAAATAAATTAAGTTCAGATACAAATTTCTCCCCAATACCTTGTGAGATATAAGAATTTAAAGTGTTTCTGTAACGGGAAATTTAAGAAAAATCATATCAAATCTGAATAGATATATTTATATCAACAAGTTTGTCCATTTATTTCTGCTTATTTTTCATCTTTGGTACTCTTGGTTTGTATGGTGTTGCTTGCATGTAAATACCAAATTATTGGCTAAAAGCAATCACAAAGTGGATATCACTTCTCTTTAACATTTTTGTATCTTTGCTTGTAGCATCTAGATAAATTGTTTACAATAGGAATTGTGCGCATCCAAGTTATTTTCTACCTTCAAGCATCTCCAGCTTTTGTTAATTGAACCTTTCTTGTTTGCTCTGGGGAACTGGGAAGTTAATTTAACAAATTTGTTAAGCATTTTATGGCATTGATCAATATTCTATAAGTTTAAACATTCATCATATGTATTTATTAGAAATTGTAATTTTATAATTTGTTACCTTTCTGTGAGATTCATATCCACATACATACCTTCACTTATGTCATGATTATTTTACAACTTTACTTTCAGTTTAATTCCTGGATCTTGCTACATCATAATGGTTATAAATTAATCATAAAAACATTTTCTCTTTCAGCACAAACTAACTACACAGCCAGTCATACATCTTATAGCAATCAACCCATGCCTAGTTTGCCGCCTCTGGTTTTGCCTCCAGGCTCTAGTAATTATGCCACAGGCCCTGTAACAGGTGAGAATTCTAAACTATTTTACAGTAGGCAAAAGTATGATTATGTCGAGTTATTATTGTAGAAATGGGTACTGAAGCAAGGATACCCAAAATAGGCAGAACTGTGGTTAAATAGGGCACAATAACCAACCAATCAGAGACTTGGAATTCTTTAATAGGTAATCATTACTCATCTTATTAAGGACTGTTATTCTGTAGGGGAGAGTCTGAGGGTCCGTATGCATACTTCTTTTTATTATGGCTCTTTTTAGTGGTATTATGTGTTTATTACTAGATTTTATCAATATTTTTTTTCACAAAGATGGGATGTGAAGGCATTTCGAACAGGGCACACGGCACTTTCTCACAATAAAGGTCCTATTTTCCATCTTCACTTTGAACAGTAAACACATTTGTCACCATTGAAAATGATGGAAATAAAATACTTAGTCCACATATAGAAAACAATGCAGATATCTGTCCACCACCGCCCCTGATTAATNTCATCAATAAATGATTTCAGATAAATGTTTCTGTTATCTAAAAACATTTGCAGAAAATTTATTTGGATTTTTATCACATTTTGTATCTGCATTTAGGTTCTGTAACACCTATTTATAATCGGATGGATGTTAAAGTATTGGAATCTCATCATTTGGCCGAACAGGGAGCTTTTGGGAGTAAGTGTCATACACAGTTATAGCACTAATATCTAGATGGAAAGGGAATAGGCATAAAACGTATGTTACCTAGAAATGCTGAGGAGATAACATAATAGTCTGATAGTAGAGGAAGCACTAGTTAAAACAGGTGCCTTTAGATTGGTAACTTGAATAACATTGGGATTGCTAGACAGTTTGTAGTGATAATTTGGTTTTTAAAATCCATATTTTTACCTGCTGTGTGGATAACCTGCACTTATTTGGATATCTCCATGTCTGAGTGCATTCTTATTTCTGCATTAATATTAAGAAAACAATGGAATAAGATTTTGTATAGAAAAAATACAATGTAAAGAATTGATTTTTGCTTAAGTAATATGCCCAATGACAAATCAATTTATGGAGTTTTAAACCTTCATTTCAGTTAACCTATTTATAAAATAGCTCTGTCAATATATTCTTTTGACACAAAAGCAAATATTTTTAGTATTTATTTAATATCATCTCATGCAGAAGATACTATAAAAGTTTTTTAAAAAATCATCTAAATTGCAACAAGCACACATTGAATGTTTTGACTGAATTTATCATTTTTTATTCTTACATAAATTAAAACTAAAACATATACATATTTCCACTCTTTAGACATAAAATACATACAGTTGTACTTGTTTGACATTATTTTTGATTGGACTCTTTACAGCAAGGGTTATAACTTGTGTTATTATATCATAAATATTAATAAATAGATAAGACTGCATCTTTGCTAATTTAGACAGTAGCATTTTTTTACAAGTAAAATTAATATAAATCAACAAAATTAGACAAAATATGCAAATTTTCTGTATATGTCTTTGAATTAGTTTTGTGTTTAATACAGTGCCCTCCAACTTGACACCAGAGTGCATACAACTAGAAATGAAAAAAAACAAAACTGCATCCTTGCACACTGTGTAGTCACCTAGTCCCATGCCAGCGCCAACAAAACGTACAAACTATACACTTCATCATTTTCCTTGATTTCAACACAAAAGGATTGTTGTCCTTTTTTTTATCCATCCCCCTCAAGTCTCCAAACACATAATTTCCTAATTGATTGACATTCACCATCTAAGTAGTTTTCAAGCAGCCCATCCACTCATATTGTTGTTTTTGTTTGGGTTTCCTATTACTGCTTGATACATCTGACTGGCAGCTTGATTTGAATTTTTCATTTCCTCCTTAGCCTTTTAGTATTCCAGCATAAGTGATCTTGGTTGTATTGTACCTCCCTATTCCAATATCTCCCAGTAGATAGAGTTGCAGCAGTGTTTTCCTAAATGGATTTAGTTCCAGTGCCAAACACAAAAGTCTGATGGAAAAATCTCTTAAATTATTCAGCAAAAAATAGGGTATATGGAAATTAAATTAGGGATGGAGTCGATGAACTGGTTAGAACATAGGGCTCTGTTGTATTAATTCCTCTTATGTTTGCAGAGCAGATTTTGTTGTATTTATTTTATTTGTTCTCATCAAGGTTTTGTTAGTGATCAGTAGATTTCCTGGTAGAGATAATGTATCTGCTGTTAAAACCCCATCAATACTGCATGGAGCATACTAACGCATGGCAAAGACTGTTCTTCCATAGAAAAAGATACTGATTAGCCAGCAGGAAACAACCACCACCATTTATTGATCTTTTCTCCTGCAACTTTTTGTTTTAAGTTTTGTTTTTAGTCATCTCAACTTTTTCAGTTTTCGATTTAGTATTTGCTGTTCCATTTTTGTTTGTAGCTAACAACAACAACAACAACACGCCAGCCTCAATTAACAATGTCCCATCATCCCCCATGAAAGTCCAGACCGAGGCTGCCCAGGCGGTCGAGACCAGCAACGGTAGTTTGACCGAACTGAAACCCATTTCTCAGGGAGTTCCCACTCCGCAATCATACAACAACATTCCGTTTAGTTCCACAGGGCAGTATTGTAAGTGGACCACAAGTCAGAGAGGCATAGACTGACCTTTTGCTTATTGATACTGACCTCAACTTTCCATAACCCTCCTCTCCTCTTCCTCACCAACCTCATCCTCATCCTCATGGGGTTTTAATATTTCATTGATGTTTTGGTTTAGGGTCTAACCAACATCCATCCTGCAGAGACACATCAACATTATACTTTTACAGTAACAGTCGTAACAATAATATGGCCTTGTTTTGGTTCATGGTTTGATTTGTATTGTTTGTACTAATTATTGTCCTGTAATTAGCACTTAACAAGATTTTATATCTGCATTTTATTAACTTTTTAAATAATTTATTTATTTTCAAATTACACCATGTTGCCCATTGTTTTCATTGAAATTTATCCATTTCCCATTACAGAAAGTTAAACAGATCTATAAAAGTAACTAATCTAAAAGAATATTGGTTTATTTCTTAACTGGTTTCCACAAAATTTGGCATATGTTTGAACCAATAATATAGGCAGTATGTTCAATTTTAGTTTTGTGCAGTATATTATAATTCTGATGAGGAATAGTGAGCATATAACTGTTTTCTAAATGACTTTTTTGGTTTTGTAAATTATGTTCATTTATTGTTATGGATGCCATTTACACAGTTAATTTTAAATAATACCACAAAAGAAATAAATTTCGTTCAGATACAAATTTCTCCCCAATACCTTGTGAGATATAAGAATTTAAAGTGTTTCTGCAACGGGAAATTTAAGAAAAATCATATCAAATCTGAATAGATATATATATATATATATATCAACAAGTTTGTCCATTTATTTCTGCTTATTTTTCATCTTTGGTACTTTTGGTTTGTATGGTGTTGCTTGCATGTAAATACCAAATTATTGGCTCAAAGCAATCACAAAGTGGATATCACTTCTCTTTAACATTTTTGTATCTTTGCTTGTAGCATCTAGATAAATTGTTTACAATAGGAATTGTGCGCATCCAAGTTATTTTCTACCTTCAAGAATCTACAGCTTTTGTTAATTGAACCTTTCTTGTTTGCTCTGGGGAACTGGGAAGTTAATTTAACAAATTTGTTAAGCATTTTATGGCATTGATCAATATTCTATAAGTTTAAACATTCATCATATGTATTTATTAGAAATTGTAATTTTATAATTTGTTACCTTTCTGTGTGATTCATATCCACTTACATACCTTCACTTACGTCATGATTATTTTACAACTTTACTTTCAGTTTAATTCCTGGATCTTGCTACATCATAATGGTTATAAATTAATCATAAAAACATTTTCTCTTTCAGCACAAACTAACTACACAGCCAGTCATACATCTTATAGCAATCAACCCATGCCGAGTTTGCCACCTCTGGTTTTGCCTCCAGGCTCTAGTAATTATGCCACAGGCCCTGTAACAGGTGAGAATTCTAAACTATTTTACAGTAGGCAAAAGTATGATTATGTCGAGTTATTATTTTAGAAATGGGTACTGAAGCAAGGATACCCAAAATAGGCAGAACTGTGGTTAAATAGGGCACAATAACCAACCAATCAGAGACTTGGAATTCTTTAATAGGTAATCATTACTCATCTTATTAAGGACTGTAGGGGAGAGTCTGAGGGTCCGTATGCATACTTCTTTTTATTATGGCTCTTTTTAGTGGTATTATGTGTTTATTACTAGATTTTATCAATATTTTTTTCACAAAGATGGGATGTGAAGGCATTTCGAACAGGGCACACGGCACTTTCTCACAATAAAGGTCCTATTTTCCATCTTCACTTTGAACAGTAAACACATTTGTCACCATTGAAAATGATGGAAATAAAATACTTAGTCCACATATAGAAAACAATGCAGATATCTGTCCACCACCGCCCCTGATTTATTGCCTCTCTGTCCGGACAAGACTGACCGGCTTGACCGGTCTGTCACATTCAGAGATTTCCAAGTGATTTTTAAGTTTGAAAACTGAGTGCAAAAACCTTGGCTAATATATCTGTCACATGGGCCTTTCAGGTTACAATGCTTATTTATACATATATGAGGAAATGTTGAAAAGTTATTGATTTGTCATCGTTTAACTGGTTCAGCTCACTGCTTAGCAGTTTGGATCAGAGCTCTGTCAGTGCAGAAAAGTTTAATTTACCATGTAGTAAAAAAAAAAAAGAAAAAAAACAATGGAGAAAGTGATCAAGCTTCATGCATTCTGTCATACCAAGTGTCCATTATGTGATGTAACAACCCATATGTTATGAACCAGTAACAGGCGCACAACATGAGTAAAGAAAGAGAAAGTTTTCCATCATAGTTTTGAAAACAAAGACTAATTCTGTAAATTGAGAGAAGAGATATAATATTGCCTGTTTATTGTTCTTTTATTTAAGGATAG